GTGCTTAAATCTAGGAAAGAATACATTTCTATTGACTAGGAATCAGAAACTTAGGGTACAATGATAGAGCATTGTTTTATAACAGGAGCAGTTTCCAGCTTGGATTCAAAATACTGATTAAAAGAAAATCTTTGTTTTCTATTATGATTGGATCCACCCTTTCCATGGCCAAATATTTTAATCCAGATACTTTTTAATCTTTATCCCACACTTGCCCTTTAATATTTACCAGAAATTCAGAGAAACAGACTACATATTTTGCCACACAACAGTCATCCTCACTGAATTCTTTTATCTAGAGGTCTACAAACTATGACCCTCCAGTCAAATCCTGCCTTGCCCCTGTTTTTGTAAATAAAGTTTTATTGGAACATAACCATGCTCATTTGTTTATATATTGTCTCTGGCTGCTTTCACACTACAAAGGCAGACTTAAGTAGCACAACTAAGACCATATGTCCCATAAAGCCCCAAATATTTGCTATCTGGGCTCTTCCCAGAAAAAGTTTGCTGACCCCTGATCTAGACTTGTAGAAACCAAGAAACAAAAGATTCTTAACCAAGAAATAGTTTCCACATTTGTTAAACTCTTCCAAATAACTTTAATACTTAACATAAAAATGTCAAGGAAGTATTGCGAAATAGTACCCTGATTTCTTTCCTGTGTTTCAAGGGATAGTTAGACGGTAAGTCATGGCACCAGCGAATTGAAATCCATTGCCACTGACGGAGTAATTCTGCCATCAGCCACGCCTCCCACAGAATCCATGATATGGTGTGAGGAGAAAGCTGGTGTGAAAGTAGAGAGAGTCTCTCTCTATATACAGCACGTCCTCTAATAATATTGTTTCATTCTATATTGTTTAGGTTTTGTTTGTTTGTTTGTTTGTTGCGATGGAAATGTGCACACCCTCCCCATGTCTGTGTGGGTTTTTTCTCTAGGTATTCCAATTCCATATCTCAAAGACATGCATGTCAGTTTCCTTGGTGTGTCTAGATGGTGCCAGTCTGAGTGTGGCAGTGTGTGTGATTGCGTCCCACAATGGGTTGATGTCCTGTTCAAGGTTGGTTCCTACCTTGTGCCCTGAACGTGTTTTATAATTTGTCAGTCAGAAGCATAGGACACAACCTGGGACCTGTGACTGTCATCTGAAGTAGCAGGCAGTCTTTTGGGATAAAGCCCTTAACCTGTGGATCTGATGCTACCTCCAGGTAGATAGTATCAGAACTGAGTTAAATTGTAGGACACCCAGCTGGTGTGTATTGAAGAGTTGATTACTTGCTGTGTTGCGGGGGTGGCGGTGGGGGGGCGTTGGGGAGGTGGGGGGGGAAATAACCTTCAAACATTTGGTGTCAAAGTGTTGTATTGAGTGCGTGAAGGTAGGAAAACACCTTAGTTTTTCTCCTATCTCTCAGAGGCAGTATGTCCCCCAAAAGTCTGTAACACCAGACCAGAGAGATGCTCCTATAACTGAGAACTGCTTGGGAAGCTCTGCAAACTAAGGCTCCCTCTTGGATATGAGGATATGAATAATTCACATGATTTTATTAGAAGATCTGAAAAGTCCACCTATACACCTTGTTTAACTTTATAAGATTATAAATTTCTTTTCAAAAGTAATACCCATTAATTTACTAAGGAAAGAAAGTTGAAGATATACAGCTTAAAAAGCAAAGCTCCTCCTTTCCCATCCTTTCTCTTACCACAAAGGCTCAGGAGAAGCTCAAAGAGAAATTATTGTTCACTTGTTAGTTTTTCCATCCTTTCAATAGAAAATGTCTCTACACTCCTTTGATATTCCATGGCTAATTTTATGACTGGTCCTAAGATAATAAGCTGCTAGACTTACACTGAGATCCATTCAGCACACTTAACACTTCCTGATTACTGAAGACCTCTTCTGAAAATCTCCTGAAGTCTTTGCAGAGTTCTCTAAACATGAGCAGAAGGCCAATCATGACAGGGAGGTGAGACGTTTTGCAGCAAAATAGTCAATATATAAACTAAGTTCAACACCAGTTCTTTGACTTGAATAATGTTTTATCATCCCAGCCTTTTTGTCAAGTTATCCCCGAGTCAGACTTCATTTGGAAGCTCACGAGCGGCCTTGCTGCACTGGTAAAGTCAGGTTCTCATGGACGAATGGCGCTGTTGCTTGATGTGATTGTCCTCTGAAACTTCTGATTATGTCCTCTGAAACTTCTGATTATGCCTTGAGTCACCTCCTTTCTCTCACATGATCCCATTCTTTTCAGGAGCAAGATATTTTAACTTCTGTATTTAGTGCCTTTAATAGATTGAGCTAAGAAATCTAAGCAATCTTCAGGGCTAAGAAACAAGTGGCACTTGCCAGAGCTGGGTGTCCATACGCTGGTGGTGGCTGGTAAGTCAGCCATGATGAATCCCAGCAGAGGGCACGGAAGAGTCCTGAATCAGAGGACCCAGGTCTCAGTTTTGACTTGGCCACTAGATAGCTCTATCAAATTTAAACAGACATGAAAAAAAAAAGCCACGTGTTCCTGTTGGGCTTCATTTCCTTCTTATGTAAAATATGACAATTGGACAAGAAGATAGAGCATGTATTTTGAAGCAATAATTCTCGACTTTTCTCTGTATTGGACTCACTTGGAGAGAGTTTTAAATCCCCACGATCCTGGCTACATCCAGAATGTCTGAGGGCAAAACCTCGGCATTAGTGCTTTCAAAACTCCCCAATGTTGAGAACTATTGCCTCTTTAGGCCTTAACGTCTGAATTTTACACTCTGTCTTTAATAAATGATAACTCATAGTGTTTGAGGGTCGTATCTTCCAATGGCTAAATATGGCAGGAAAAGTAGGCAGATAATTTGAAGCATAGATTCTTATTTTGGGCTTCAAAATCTTTTGTTTGTGGAAAAATGAATGTTTTAGAAATAAATTACCCTATATCCCAGGTTTCGGGTTATTTTTCTAATCCACAGTTTTAGTTCAGGCAAGAGTCAGCTGGACACATGAATTCAGGAGCCATATGACAGCTCTGGTTTCCTTGGTTGAAGATTTCCTTGCTGTCTCATATCCCTGCCCTTGCTAATGTGAGTCTCCATGCTAACTAACATTTTGATGCACTCTATGTTTAGAACTGTGTAACAGTCGTCTGAAATCTTAATGCCCTAAGTAACTACAAACTATTCATTCTTTTAAGAAGTCTCCATACTCCATTCATAGAAAATTCGAAATGGGAAGATCATTACCCCTAGCTTTCTAAGAATAGTTGAATCAAAGAGGAAAATATTTGGTGAAATTCATACAATATTAAAATCAAATGCCACCTTTCCAGAATGCTGGATTAGAAAAAGAACTTGAAACCTGGAATATAGGGCAATTCACTTCTAAAACATTAATTTTAATAATGATTTTAAAAAACAATGAGCTAAATCTAGAGAAAATCTGGCTTGTATCTCCAGAGAAGGAAGGCAATGTTATTCGATATTTAGGCTTCATATTTTCTCCCTGAGATGCATATTTTGGGTTGGGTACACTTCTCCCTAATGTACTTTGACCTTTGATGTTGCTACCCTTGAGCTGACCCCTGCAGAATGTATGCTCAGTGTGGGCAGGGAGCACATGGCTCCTATTCGTCTTTGTTTCTTTGTTCTCCCAGCAAATAGCACAGGCCCTGGTACATTGTAAGTGTCTAATAAGTATGTGGAAAAGTAGATGAAAGATTGTAAGAGGTTAGTATCATAAAGTTAAGATGGAATGAGGGTCCTTCCAATTCTGTAAATAAACTAGAGAGGTAAGTATCACTTTATTGAGTCTTTTTGGACTTCGTCTATAATTACTGATTTTAAAAAATAATGGAAATGAACCATTATGACTCCACAACCAGACAATTGAGAGAATGGTACTGTCACTCTTCATTTCATAAAGACTGGTAGGAAGCACAAAAGTTGGCAAACTGAGGCTTTACTTCAAACAGAACTCAGGGAGCCTGGCCTCAGCATAATGACTTCAAACACTTGTTTACCATTTACCATCTCAAAATGGAATTGTTCCAGAACCCATCGCCTAACCCCTAAACCACAATGTCCTAAACTACGGCTTATTGACCTCACCCTTCCTTCTTAAAGTGTGTTCTATGAACAGCAGTGTCAGCATCAGCTGGGAATTTGTTAGAAATACAGAATACTGAGGCCAAATCCAGAACTACGGATTCAGAGTATGTGTTTTGATAACACCCCTCAGATGGTCTGCATGCCCAGGAAAGTTTGAGAAGCCCTGTACACAACAGATTTTGAGTCATAATAAGGCCTTCAGATTTTACATTCCTGGAATATAAAATTACTATGTATGAAAAATTACTATGTAAAGTACTATGTACTTTTAACATTTCATATAGTAATTTTATATTATATTTAAAATGAGAAAATAATGATTTACAAAAATGAATACATAACCAGACACTACCAAAAATAAGCAGGTAAATTTGAAAAAACAACAAATGAAAAAATATATCATTTGTAAAGAAATACTCAAAAGTGTTATCAAACACATCAAACGCAAAGTCCATTGTTTGCTGTTTCAGCTGTTCCCAGCACTATTTATTTTTTGAAAAGGCAAAAGTTGGGTATGATTTTTCAGCTATTTCTGAGTGAATCAAATATAAACTGACATCTTTCCCAAAAACATGTTCAGAAAGGACTAAAAGAGGAACCACCTTATTTTCTGAACAGCTTTGGGCTTCATTAAAGATACCTTTTACTTCATGTACATAATAGATGAACATTTACACACACACCCCAGGGATAAAAGTTTTGGGACTTACAATTGGAGCCAATGTTAAGTGTCCACTAAAGTGGGCCCCTGCCAAGTTCCTTGACCTCATTTCCATGTTGGTCACACAAACTCTGGGTGGAAGATGCTCTAATAGAACCTGTCTCTCAACAGAATTCTGCCCCATAGGATGGCTCTTCTTAGGGTGAGGGGAAGTGACAGTTTTCATGGCTACCCTTGACTTACACAGCATCCAGCTTTGTCCCATTGAAAGCGTGTCCTTGGATTGAAGTGAAGCCATTGTTGTATAGCTTCCTACAACCAACAGACAGAACAGAAATCAGTGGCTGGTGAGCAGTGGTGCTGGCCTGTTTCTGAAGAGTTGGGCTTTATTTCTTCAGTGTCATAAATGTACATAAAGGTTTTTCAGGTCCCACATATGCACCCCCAAGAAAACATTCCCGTACAACTTGTTGGAAACAAGTAAGATAATATTTCTCAGTTTGAATGAATGCCCATTCTCCTGACCTAGCTCCTAGTACATTTGAGCTGTTTCTCAGAATTGTATTTACTTTGAGTAACAAAGCTCATTGCCATTAAAGATTTTAAAAGAATATTTCACATACATCCAGAAAAAGGGATTTCAGGTAATAGTTACCCCAATATCAATAGCGGAGGAGCAACTGCAGTCTCTTAAGATAAACATTTTGAAGACATTCACCTAAATGCATATGTGTTTAATTTTTCTATTAATATTTAAAATATCACCTTTGTATTTTATTCATCTTTTTGTCCTCAGAGCTTATCATAGACTAAATGTTTAAGGGTTAGGGGCTCAATTAAATTAAACCTTGTAAATGAATCTAAGAAAGTAGATAGACCATGACCTCTTATGGAGTTTTTTGGTTTCGTTTTTGAGACAGGATCTCTCACTCTGTCACCCAGGCTGGAGTGCAGTGGCTCAGTCACGGTTCACTGCATCCTCAAATCCCCGGGCTTAAGCAATCCTCCCACCGCAGCCTCTCAAACAGCTGGAACTACAGGCATGTGCCACTGTGCCTGGCTAATTTTTGTGTTTTTTGTAGAGATGAGGTTTCGCCACATTGCCCAGGCTAGTCTCGAACTCCTGGCCTCAAGCGATCAGCCTGCTTCAGCCTCTCAAAGTGCTGGGGATTACAGGTATGAGCCACTGGTCTGGAGATGTTAATGTTTTTTAACTTGTTGCTATGTTTCTGTGACTAATTAATTCATACAATGATTCAGGGAGCCAGTCTGAAATGTTATTACTTCTATTTCCTGTTGAAGTTACTGAGACATAAAGGTGACTTGTCAAAAACACAGTGGTCTAGGACTGTTGAGACTCAGAATCCCCGACCTCAAATATGATTTTTTTTTTGAGATGGAGTCTGGCACTGTTGCCCAGGCTGGAGTGCAGTGGCATGATCTCTGCTCACTGCAACCTTTGCTCCTGGATTCAAGTGATTCTCCTGCCTCAGCCTCCTGAGTAGCTGAGATTACAGGTGCCTGTCACCACACCTGGCTAATTTTTGTATTTTTTAGTAGAGATGGAGTTTCATCATGTAGGCAAGGCTGGTCTCAAACTCCTGACCTCAGGTGATCTGCCTGCTTTGGCTTCTCAAAGTGTTGGGATTACAGGCATGAGCCACCATGCCTGGCTGACCTCAAATATAATTATTTCCACCTACAAAAAGCAGTCCCCCTTTCTACAGAATCACTTGAATCCAAGAGCAAAGGTTGCAGTGAGATGGGCCCCTCCTTTCTGCAGGAGATGGGCCCCAGCCTTGGGATCTCTGAGCTATATGGGAATGCACAGAGGTTATTGGTAGTTATTGGGATGAAAATAAGAGAAGACAGCTATGACCACACTCAGGCATTGCTAGCGGGAACTCTTAGTGGCAGTTGTAAGGGAACTTTGAGAGTTATGGTAATGTACCACATGTGAACTTGGGGAACACATTAAGAAGCATACAGGAAAGTTCAAATTTGTGGTGAGACCTGGCTCTGCCACTTAATAGTTGAATGATCCTGAGAATTTCTCAATCTGTCTTATCCTCAGTTTCTTTATTTCTAAAAATATAAGTAAGTACATAAATATAATACCCAATAAAAAGGTTGCTGAGAGGATCACATAACTATATATTTAACAAAGTGAGGACCACTTATGAGATGACCATGTTAAAAGGAGTTGGTGTGGCCTGTAATCTCAGCTACTTGGGAGGCTGAGGCAGAAGAATTGCTTGAACCCAGGAGGTGGAGGTTGCAGTGAGCCAAGATCACACCATTGTACTCCAACTCTGGGCGACAGAGCAAGACTACATCTCAGAAAAAATAATATAAATAAATAAATAAAGTATCCTAAAACTTAGATTTATCCTATATAGTTGTGGAAAACTGAGAAAGATTCTCACAGCTCTGTTGTTGTTGTTGTTGATGTGTTTATTTTTATTTAGTCTTAAATAATTACATAGTGAGTTTAATTACAGCTACTAACATGTCCTGGGTGAGGATTGCAATATCTCAGGAATATAAGCACAATGGCTGAGAAAACTATGGTAAATTAATTTTTTCTGAACTAGAACTCTTTTATGATGATGTGAGAACTGTTTTGACATTTTTATTTTTCTAAATTTGTTGAGAGTCCTGGACATTAAAAATACTTGTTTGAGTTGCATTTCAGATATTAAACAAAGGTCTTAATGAACAATTTGGCCTTGAAAAAGGAATCCGGTGAAGAAAGATCAAAGAATTACAAACTCTGATTGAAACTATCTTCTACCAGGAATACAGGTACAAAGTCAGCTGTTGGAACATACATTGTTTCATGTTGATGGTTCTTTGAGCCTGAGCTTCAAAGAAGGAAGGACTCTTGCACAAATGTAGAAATAATCATCTGAAAGGATCATGAATAATCTATGCCATCCTCTCCTCTACATTTTAGGAAATATGGGCTTCCTTCACTCAGATGTTTATAGAATGCATCCTGGGCTACATGCTTGATGTGGGAGAATGAGCTTTCACTTGAGAGGGGTGGGTGCTTGAGATATGGGGATTTTAGAAAAATGGTGTCAAAAGATAGTAAAGAAGTTTAGCATGTAGGAGTTTCGTTATGATGAGCACTATAGGGCACAATGGAAAGCTTTACTGAAGTAAATGGCTTTGAGGTTTGAGGCTGAGTAGCCTAAGAGCCTGGGTCTTTTATGCATGATAGGAAGAAATTATGATCAAGAAGGAGCCTCCTTTTTCTTTAAAAGAGACCTCTCACCGTGTTGTGATGAGAAGGATCAGCTGAAATGCTCCATTGCTCCCAGAAGTTGAGGCAACTTCATTGGGCCCAAATTGATAAACTAGGAAGGGCTCAGAAGATAGTCCCTTAGAAAAACTGTGTGAAGCTTGGATCCATGTTTCTGGGAGTAATTTCATCAGGTTTGTACCTGTGAAGAGCCCCCCACCCCAACTTTAGTGTGAGCAGAGAAATGAAACTGGGGTGACAATCCAGGAAAAAACTTCATCACACTTGAACTTGGGCATTGGTCCTGAAAATTGAGAGGATATCCTGCAGAGGTAGCTCCAACTCTACTCTGTGGCTTATACAATGAGAGAGGAGTTTTCTCACAGCTTAGAGAATTAACTTATCCTTTTTACCTCTATTAGATCTTCTCCATTAGAACATTTTTGTGAATGTCCCTAATTAAGCATCTACTTTTGACCATCTAAAGAGCATTACCCCCATTCAAGCTCTGGAAAAATGCTGACCTCTAGCAGCACTATGCTTTCTACTTAATATCCCCTTACAGGAGCTTAATAACAGTGTGTGATTACAGAGTAAAAGTGTGAGTGCAGAATTTATGAAGCCCTTAATGGCACCACTTTTTAAACTCAGTGATCTTGGGAAAGTCACTTCAATTTGCTTAAACCCCAGTTCTTCTTCTGTAAAATGGGGATACCTGGATACAGATGATTATTCCATAATAATAATCGCAGGCCAAATCAAGTCCACTGCCTGTTTCTCTAAGTAAAGTTTTATTGGAACACAGACATGCTCATTAGTGTATGTATTGAGTATGGCTGTTTTTGCCATACAATGCCAGAATTGACCTGTTCCTATAGAGGTTGCATGGTCTGTAATGCCTACCCAGTCCTTTATGTGAAAAATGTTACCCACCACACTGCCATAATAGAATCCTCTTATCTTGTTTCCTAAACTCTTTTGTAGTCTACAGAGTAACATCCCGTAAGACAATACTCTAATTATGTAAAACACATGGTACTCTATAGAGTATATATGGTAGGATAGTATGGCTCTTGGATGGTCTGTATACATAAGAAAATAACTCAGAATAGAATTTAGTTGCTGGAGAGAGTAGATCTGGTAATACTCACAGTGTCAAAGTTTCATTGCATAGTCCCTGAAAAGCATTCACAGGGATTGATGTCATGTAAGGGTTGTCTGTGATTTCACTGCAAGAGAGAGGGACAAAAACACTTATTGAAAAAATGCTTCTTTCTGGAGCAGGGGTCTTGCTGCACATATGCACTTTAATAAATAACAGACACAATATAGCTTAATCTTACTTCTTTTTAAGTTTTACTGACCCTTCTTAACCACTAGTGGCTCAGAGGTCTGGTGAGGTGGTGAGAGCTGTCCTAGATGACATGTACCTAGAGTCCAAGTGTGGGGTAAGTGAGAGAGCTTTAGGTGGGGGCAGAGGTCCCTGACTTAATCCTCATCTCGAGGGAGGCAGATGGATCTCAGAGGCTTCTCTCGAATCTGCAACCCTTTGTCCATAACAACTGGAGTTTCCTACATGCATGAACCTTTAAGAAGGTCGGAATAAAAGGATTAATGGATTCCATTTAATGAGTATTTCTAAAATGCCCTTCACTTGCCAAACCTCACCAGTCTCCTGGAGAACCTTTCTACACCATTCTAGTTCCTGAAAGACTGCTTATATTTTGAACTGAGCTCTTTTGCAGGAAAGAAGAATGATCAATTTTTTTTTCTAGCAAAACCCCAAGAGTTTGAAGCTTATCATTCTACTTTTTTGCTGACTCTTTAATGCAAACTCAACTTGTAGTTCTCTCTGCTGTGTGTCCTTTCATTCCTATACAATTAGGTAAGACAACCGACTCCCGTCACACATTTTGGAAAAGAGGACATGGCTGCCAATCAGAGGTCACAGGCAGTAACTTGAGTACCACTCCTGACTGTTCCTCGAGACACTGCTCAGGCAAAATCACTCGAGGTTTCTATTCCTCAGTTTCCTCATTCATAAATGGAAGAGGAATAACTTTGTTTTATACCTTATTAGGTGGCTGAGAGGAGCAAATGTCATGTATGGGAAAGTGTTTAAAGACCTATTAAAACTATATGAAAACTAGGGTATCAGAGTTATCATCAGATGCTCCTTCTATTCAACCATTCCCATCGGCAAAGTAGTATTGCATAATTTCTTCCACTTAAAACAAAAACATGCAAACAAAATCTTTTCTCCTGACTCTATATCCTCCAATTACTGAGATATTTTCTGCTCCCTTTTAATAGTAAAACTTCTCAAAAGACTCTTTCTAATCCTCTCTACCCAAATCTCTCTTGAGCCCACTCCGACCAGACAGTTCCAGTGGGGACACTCCCAGCACCCCCCTGGAACTGTTCTTGGCAGAGTCATCAACAACCCACGTTGCTGAAGCCAATGGTTATTTCTCAGTCCTTGCCTTACTTCATGCCACAACTGATCACTGCTTCTCCTTGAAACAATTGCTTTACTTGACTTCAACCAACCCCCATGGCTGTATTCTAGTTCTTGTCAGTGACAAACAAAATACTTTCAAACATGGCATGTGTGCATACTTACAGTATAAAGAATATGTCAATGGAATAAACTTTGGTCAGGTCAGGGAACATTTTAAGTCCAGTGTTGAAAATGCCACTAAATTAATGAAAAAAAGAAAAAGGGTAGAATTTAGGTAAGAAAATCAACACATAGGAAGGAGAATAAGGTAATAGCTAAAAGCACGGGTTCTGAAGTCAGCCTGGAATCAGAATCCCAGCTCCTTCGCTAAATATCTTAGTGACTGTGGGCAAGTTTTGATGGTTGGATGAGATGACGTTTCCTCAAGGCACAATCATTAAATCCAGTCCACAGGTGTCAATGTATCTGCTTGGCTTAGAATACACTGGAGATTGTTTTAACCAAGCGGGATTACTAAAAATATAAATTCAGTTTTCGTGTGTGTGTGTGTGTGTGTGTGTGTGTGTGTGTGTGTGTGTATAGGTGAGAGACAGAGAGATTTTCTTGTTTATTTGGAGAAAATTATGTGTGTGTTAGTGAAGGGCTAAGAAAAGGATGGGACAGGAAGATATGATGACGTTAAGCCAGCCTCTTCTTTCAAGCTCTACATTTGTTGTGCTGCTGGTTTGCCAAGAACAGCTTTCCTACAGCAGTGACCTGAGAGTACCATTATAGCAGTACCATTTAAAAAAAATATGTCCAGAGGGACTGAGCATGGTGGCTCACGCCTATAATCCCAGCACTTTGGGAGGCCTGAGACTAGGGGATCACCTGAGGTCAGGAGTTCAAGACCAGCCTGGCCAACATAGTAAAGCCCCGTCTCTACTAAAAATACAAAAATCATCTGGGCTTGGTGGTGCAAACCTGTAATCCCAGCTACTTGGGAGGCTGAGGCATGAGAATCACTTGAACCTGGGAGGGGGAGGCTGCAGTGAGCCGAGATCATGTCCCTGCACTCCAGCCTGGGTGACAGAGCGAGACTGTCTCAAAAAAAAAAAAAAAAAAAAAAGTGCCCAGAAGAGGAAGGAAACCAATCAAAGACAATGTCTTCACCTTCTGAAGTTTATATCATTTAGGGAAAAATGTTAAGATTAAAAGACATGCATAAAACACCATGAACATAAGAATTCTTAGGCTTCTGATGTCTCCCAGATTTAGTTGGCTTAACATTCGTTGCAGCTACTAGAATGTAGTTAGAATTTTTTTTGAGAATTTGGCATGGCATAGAGTGAGACCTAGACACTACCCAGTAAAGCTATAGAGAAAGTCTTCTGGTAAAGAAACTACATACACCTTCTGAGGCAAATTCAGACTTGACTTCTTTTAGAGAAGAAGGCACAGGATTTGAAGAGGCAGCAGGAGCGAGCGGTCTCAAAACGAGCAAATGGGAGGGACATTTCAGATAACAAAGGAGAGAGGTGAGATTCCATAAGGTATATTTGAAATACCGTAAATAAACGATTTCAATTGCAATAGAGGCTCATGATGAATAGTAGGAGGCAAAAAGGTCCAAGAGTCAAGTATTTAGACCAAGACCTTTCTATTCTTCAAAAACCTCAAACAAATCCCCTAAAGCCATCCTATGGGTCTTCTTTCTCATGTCTTCTCTAATTACCGGAACCCCCAAACACTGTATATGTCTCTCCTTTGTCACTTTCCTTTATTCTTCTGTAGGAGAGGCACTATTCAATTTCATACACATCTCCACAACTAGATTTTAAGCTTCTTGCAGGCAAGGACAATGTCTTAGAAACCTGTGTGTACCCCACAGAGCATATACTGGGGGATCATCACATCAAAGGGATATTATGTTATTTGAAACTCAGAGTCCGTAAGAAGAGTGGCTGTCTTGTCCTGTAAGTTTTCCTGGCTTTCCAGATATCCTTTCATCTTCAAATCCCATCAGTGTCTTTTATTCTCCTGGCATCTCTCATGCCCACCTCTTCAATATACAACTAATGGCCATGCTTGGTGGCTCAACGCCTGTAGTCTCAGCACTTTGGGAGGCTGAGGCAGGTGGGTCACCTGAGGTCAGGAGTTCAAGACCAGCCTGGCCAACATGGTGAAACCCTGTCTGTACTAAAAATACAAAAATTAGTTGGATATGGTGGTGCACGCCTGTAATCCTAGCTTCTCAGGAGGCTAAGGAAGAACAATCACTTGAACCCAGGAGGCAGAGGTTGCAGTAAGCCAAGATTACACCACTCTCTCCAGCCTGGGCAACAGAGCAAGACTTCATCTCCAAAAAATATATATATATATGTATATGTATATATATGCAACTATTTTTAGTTCCCCAGAGAAGCTGTGTGGTTCCCTACCTTTGCGTCTTTATCATGCTATTCCACCAGCTATATTTCTTTTCTATCTCTCCCCATTCTTGTTCAGGATACCCTCTATTCATCCTTAAAGGCTTATCTCAGAAAATATCTATGATTACATAAGTTTGTTTTAAAGGTCTGGATGAAGATGAACTGAAATGTTGATAATCCTTATTTTGGGGTATCGGGATTAAGTTTTTTAAAAAGTTTCTTCTTCATACTGTTTTTGTTTTCTAATTTTTCTAATGCATGCAAGCAGAAAAAAGGACCCTTCCACCTGGTGTCCAGAGGGCCTGAGGTCATGCAGAGACGTGCACCGAACACATTTTTACTGAGCACCTACTCTGTACTAGGCAGTAAAGAGTCAACAGAGGAAAAAAATGCTGTGGTCCCTGGATTCATGGAGCTTATGGTCAGCTCATAAGATGTTACCAAAGCCAAGCAGTGAGTGCTGGACAGTTGAGTGCCAGAGTAGGAGGTTGAAACTGTTATCCCTTCTTCTTTCCCTCCACCCCCCACAAAAGTGCATTTTACCCTTTGTGGGATTTTTTTTTCTTTCTGTGTAACAGTCACTCTTATATTGTTGTAATACCCATTTTCAAACAAAATTGACCAACCAGCTCTCAGAATTTTGTTTTGTTTTGTTCTGAGATACTACATTTAAGGACCACATATACATGATAGCATTTCCTCCCTCCTGTTTCTTGGACTGGGTTTCTGGTCCCAGCACTATGTGCTGACTTTTGAATAGGTTTTAAAAAACATGAATGATTCCACCACATACCTTGCCCTGACCCAGGATATACACCATTAAAGTGAACCTGGACCACATCATCCTAGGGAGATTCCTGGAAGACAACAGCATTAAAATCTGACCCCCTCCCTCTGAAAAAATTGTAGGATAGGAGAGGATTTAATACTTACAGGAACTTTAGGAGGGGGAGCTCTTTGAGGGCATCAGGGTCTATGTAAGTTAAGCTCCTGGTGTTCCGAATTTCTCTGTGTAAGTTACAAGGAACACAGACACTATAATACAGCCGTATCTGTTCTTATCAAAGACAAAACGACATAAATCAGGTTTAACAAATGTTCATGAGAAAAATATACGATTATGTGGTACCACAGGGACTGTAGTTGCCAGGAGTCCCATCAACAACAAACGAATCCCGTCTCCTCACCGGGACCCAATGGCTGGTCAGTTCTCTTGTGTCCTTGGCTTGGTTTTTGTCCATTTGAATTATGAGCTACATTTCTCTTAATTGTAGTATCAGAGTTTTTTTTTTTTTTTTTTTTTTTTAGATTTAGAAAAAAAAGAAAAAAAACCCCTCTAATGATTTGGTGAGGAGTTGAAGACAAGTATCTTTATTATTTATAAGTATTTTGGCCAAGACAATGAGTGTTGGAGTGGGAAGTTGAGGGAATTTTATGATGAAGACAGCATAGCAAGATGGGCAGTGAGGTTCTGTCATTGCTATACTAGATATACGGAAATAGTAAGTCTTCACAGTTCACTTGGGTTTATTTTGTCATGTCAGCAATTTTAAGACTCGTCTGCATGTACGGTGTGATATTGTGTGTCAGTGACTTACATTCTTAGGTTTATATAAATGCTAATCAAGAATGCACAGTTAGAGTAATAAGTGATTGTTAGATATGAACTCTCACTGGTTAAATTAAACATATTCAACATAGGTAAATTGAGTAAAAGAGTTTAAAGGCATTCCCTGTGCTTACATGAAAAGTATATAAGAACCCAGTAAACCTTTAGTATTTCTCCTTAGGAATGACACCTAAAGGAACCAGCATCCAGTCACTGGTGGTGCCAATCAGAATGATCAGAATGTGACCTCTGTAATTGTTTAAAGGTTTTATAGGAAAATAATTTACATTCCATAAATTTCAAACGTTGTATGTAGGCATATAGTTCAATGATTTTTAGTAACGTAACTGTGAAACCATCACCACAGGTTAGAACATTTCTATCAACGATAAAAGTAACCATGGGCTCATTTGCCATCAGTCTCCACTAGCTCCTTTACGCCTACAAACCACTGATGGGTTTTCTATCTTTATAAATTTGCCTTATCTGGACATTTTACATAAACGGAATTATATAACAGGCAGTCTTTTGTGTCTGCCTTCTTTCATTTAGCATAATGTCTGTGAGGTTCATCCATGTTGTAATGTGAATTAGGAGGTCACTTCGTTTTATTTCTGAATATCCAGATGGACTTGAGATAGAATCTTGGCTCTGCCACTTCTAATTACATGAACTTGGACAAGTTTCTTGGCCTCTTTGAGCCATAGTTTCTTTGTCTGCAAAATAGGAACAATTAACAGCATCTCTTTCATGGGGCTCTTGTGAGGATTGAATGATATTCACGAGGGATTTTGTGTGTGGCCTTCACATAGTGAGGGCTCTATAAATAATGTTTTTATTATTGTTATTTTCATAAGTGCAGTGAAAGCTAGAGCAGACATCAGGGACTTGGGGTTGGCGATATTGCGACATTCTGGCAAAATTAGAAAAAACCTTTTGGGTTAGGTATTTCAATTAAGGACACTGAATATGAAATAGACCTTGGAAAAAAGAGGATGGAGTTAACTCTGAGAAGGGAAATCAGGTACCTCTATCCTCCCTACACACACAGCTTACCGTCTATATTAATATACCCTTACTGGTCCATTGTCTTCATTAACATAACTACTATTCCAGGAGACTCTTGCCCAGGCAAATTGCTTTATTGTTCATTACAGAGAATTTTTGAAACAAAGAACCATCAATGCTTCACCAGAAAGCATCAACAGTTTATTCCCCAAGATCTTAGAACTCCTCACTTCAAAATCCTCACTATGCTAATCTTAAACAATTATGTCATGATTTTTACCCAACCAAGACCCTGCATGGAAAGACCCTTTTTATACAATCTTTCGTTTTTTGTCCTGGCTTTAAAATGCAAAGCCCATATCCTTGGAATTCCCTCTGTCCTGGGCAAAGTGTGACAGCCGGCCACCCTACTCCAAAATCTCATAATTTTCCCACCTTGCCCCTCTAGAGACTATCAGTCTCTGTGGAGGTGGTCCTCTCTTTCCGGGGTGAGCAATAAACTCCTTGCTGGAGCTTTCCAGTGAGGGAGGAGGGTTTAAGCTTCTGTCAGAGACAAACAAATGTAAACTAGGTTTGGGAGTTTGAAAACTGCGTGGGGTCTGCAGTCTCTGGAAAATTGCTCCATAGGAGAGTATTGTTGAACAAGTAGTCTTGAGTGAGTGGTCTGAGAGAACGTCACAATGAAAGAAAACGCAGCCCACCTGGGTCAGCTGAAAAGGTTAGCGAATAAAAGGGAAATGAAATGCAGCTGCTAGTCACAGTTGATTAAATGAAGCTGGCAACTTACACGGAGGCTGGAAGAGGAGAAATGTGGGAGAGGCCGCAGGAAGAGAGAAGGAAACATGGAAGAGGAGATGGCTTTCTGGAAGGAAAGGTAAGAGGTAGAAAGGCGAAAGATGAATGAGAGCTCCCACAAGTAAACAGCAGGGAAAAGAAGCTGCTTTCTGAGGTAAGGCAGCAGCTCACCACTTGCTCACAATAGTCTAAAGCCTCTCTGGAAGTAGAGGTGGAGGGGTGGAGTGGTGGTAGACTGCCAGTAGTTTAGCTAAATGGGGAGAGATAACAGCCAGGCACCTGGTAGCTCATGCTTGTAAGCACTCTGGGAGGCTGAGGCGGGTGGATCACTTGAGGTCTGGAGTTCAACATGGTGAAACCCCATCTCTATGCAAAAATTAGCCGGGTGTGGTGGTGTATGTCTGTAATGCCAGCCATTCGTGAGGCTGAGACGCGAGAATCACTTGAACACGGGAGGCGGAGGTTGCAGTGAGCTGAGATTGTGTCACTGCACTCCAGCTTGGGCGACAGAGCAAGACTCTGTCTCAATCAATCAATCAATAGACAGAGGTAACACAAGAAGCAAATGCAGCTAGTAAAATCTTTTCAAAGATAGGAAGAAAGGAAGGGCAGCAAAAGTGAGTAAAAAGAACATCTAATCAGAGAAGGGTGAAAGAGGCGTCCAAATTTGAATGTCTTCAAGCATGCCTATGAAGGTGAATTTGGGTCACACCGTTTTGAGTTAAGCAGTCATTTATGGCCTGAATGTGCAGGAGGCTAACTATACTGCCAGAAAGCTGGAGACATTGGAAGAAAGAAAAGTTGTATGTCATTCAGCACACTAGGAATGGAGATGCCTTTCAGAGCTGAAGATGGCTGTGCCTCCAGCAGCCTGAGGCCCCGAGTGACTGAATGTGGCTGCTCTGTGCTGCCACTCATCCATCCAGTACTGTCCCATGAGGAAGAAGTAAACCTCACTCACTTAGGGCTGTTACATGTCTGTAATTTTGTCTGTGTCTTATAGTAATTCACCTATCCAAGCTAATAAGCATAAATATAATTCTGAAAATATAGAGTGCTGAGTTCACAGTGATCATGTCTAGTATATAGGTTTAAAAAAAAGAATGTGCAATTTTCACTATTTTATCTTAATCAAAAAAAGTAATAAAGAGAATGCAAAAAATCTCAAACTTTAAAAACAAAAAAAGTAAAGCTTATATATTTCATATAAAAATAACATTAAAGTATGTACTGGTTAGGCTGCTTAAGTATTGCTCTTTTGTGGAGGTAGGCTGTTTTATGGAGCTAGGCTCTTTTGCTTTGTTGGGGAAATATGCAAGGTTCTTAAAGCATATTGATTAGAAAAATTCAGTTTTGGTAGATGGTCTGGCTCTTGTCCCCACCCAAATCTCATCTTGAATTGTAATCCAAATTGTAATTCCCACATGTTGGAGGAGGGACCCCATAGGAGGTGATTACATCATAGGCGGTTCCTTCATGCTGTTCTTGTGATAGTGAGTGAGTTCTCATGAGTCTGATGGTTTTAATGAGTTCTTCCCCACTTGGCTCTACATGTCTTTCCTGCCGCCATGTGAGAAATGATGTATTTGCTTTCCCTTCCACCATGATTGTAAGTTTCTTGAAGCCTCCCCAGCCATGCAGAACTGTGAGTCAATTCAGCCTCTTTCCTTTATAAATTACCCAGTCTCAGGTATTTCTTCCTAGCAGCATGAATACAAATTAATTCAGAAGATTAAAGGGTAAAAAGAAACAGTGTGCTTTTTTTCACCTGGGGAGGATGTGAATTCCCTCCTAGTGAGGTAATGATATAACTGACTCATGTGCTGCAGGTAAGGACCATCTCGATTTTGCAGACAAAACTATGGAGACATGTTTTGAAAGGACAAGTGACTAATCTCCTCCTATACACTTAGAGGCAACACTGGGCCTTTAGGACTTATAACTTCAAATACAGCCTTTATTTTTTTAAGTGATGTTTCAAGGAGATCATCCACCAGAACTAAAAATATATGTAAATATTCATTGTCTAATTCTCCTTCATTAGATTTCAAACAAAATAAACATTTAGATGACAAGTGTAACATTGATGTCCGATGTGCAGTTTTCACAAATCAGCAGATCAATAATTCAGCATGCGTTAGATTCACTTAATCACATGCCTATATTCTGGATTTTTTTTTTCTTCCTCTGAGAAACATTTATTAATTCTCAATAACAACCTAGCACAGGACAATTGGCTTGCTGGTTATAACCGGCATTGAGGCAGGCACTCAGTACCCATGTCCATACCTCAAACAGTATGAGAAATCAGCAGGGCGAGAGAGGGGAGTTTTCAGGTGAGGGAATGAAGAACAGAAGGGGAAAAGAAGACTTAAAGTCTTCTGTTAAGGGACTTTCCAACCACTGATTTCCTTCCATTTTCCTAGTGTCCCCCATCCTACTGCAATTATTCAACAGGCACTGGATCGTGGCATTTGACTGTGCTCTTCACCCTTGGAGATAATTTCCCCACACCCTAAACTGCCCCAGTTCAGGAGCGAGAAGCAGGCCAAACCAGGAAACAAATTGGAGGGCAATCAAAAAACCCACTTTGCAT